ACATACCTGAGAAAGGAAAAAGGTACACACGAATATGTCTTCTGACACATCTATGTACGCCATTGCTATTCATCCAAAATAAATTCGTTCTTTTTGCCGTCATTAGTGTACACCTAGCTTACATGGTTGTCATAAATAAATCGTTAAATCCACATGTCCGCATCGTCAATCAACTCGACCCACCCCTCCGTCCCCTTCCGAATTGTTCCCAGAATATTTTATTACCCACGTAGATCAAATGATATATTAAGCCATAAAAACAAACTCCAGTCTCCCACTAACTAAATATTATAAACGCAAGCGAGGGTATCTAATTTCTCCGAAAACGACACACTGAACTTCACCGGTAAATCCGGGGTATCACAACTACATCATCACAACTGGACATAAAAGGAACAAAACGGTAAAACGCTAAAGAATAAGACAGCAGAAGGGTCCGATCGCGCGTCCCTGCGCCGATGAAATATATCGCATTTTCGCTATACGCGTCCCCCACGAGACGTTGAGATGAATTGCGCACATCATAATAGCTGTTGAAGGTGATATCAAATTCCGTTTCGGTGTACAGAATATTCGTCACTACAGTAGTGTTTTTGGTCTTCTCCACCTCAAGTATTCGTGGCTCCTGGGTCGCGGAAAGCCGCAGGAAAATCGTGGCGTCGGCGAGAGATCCATTCATGGTTGTCTTGGATGGCATATAGCCGCCGCCGTTGGGGAGAAGGCCAAAACCCATCATCCCCCGAGCCAGCGGAGGGGGATACAGTTGAGCTTCTCGGTGAAGGTGAATCTCCCAAAGTGTACAGCGGTCTTTCCGAGGTACTATTTGGATTCCTCGATGCCGTTGTAGATGCCGTTGTAGATGCCGTTGTAGATGCCGTTGAAAAATAGCTGTTGAGAAGGGTAGAAGTTAAATGTTTCATTTCCTGGCGGGGGTGCAATCAGGTTCAGCCCTAGCGTAGCGTCAGCGGGGCCCTTTGTTCCATTGCCGTAGGGGATTGGTTCCCTGAATAGGAATAGGAATGCTTTACCTCTACCCGCCCCCCTCCCCCCCCACGATCATGACGAATGCAAATTTGTTCCCCATTCCATTGCTGCCCTGTGTAGGCGGTCCAACCCAGGAAACTGTAGGAATGCGATCTATTCCGCTACAAACCGTGTCGAGTCCATCGAGTCCATTCGACGCCCTGGTGGGGACGCCGCTTGATGTTGAACACAGTTTTCTCCAGTCCACAGCGTGCCGTCATCCCCTCCGGACCTGTCCGGGTTTCTAGGTGAAATTATCTCGCTCTCGCGGGTCTGGCAGCCATAGCCGCGTGAGCCGTTCTCTTTATGTTTATCACTGTGACCAGGCAAATCGGGATCATAGGGGCCACTGATGGTTATGCGGGCGCCTGCCGCTAGCCACTGGATAGTGAAGACGACGGGGGACCCGAGAAATATAAAATTCCATAGGACCATTCCAAACGGTCCCTCGCGCAAGGAATGAGGAGATCTCTGGGAGCGCAGTCTGGTCCGATTCAATTTTTAACCAGGGAATTGTGATGACATCTGTTGGCCATCAGCCACCAGTCACACCAGCGCATGGGTCCGTTTTGCTAAAGGCTCCTTCAACAAGGTCAGGAATATGCGGGCAGCAGTCCATGTAGGGAATTGAGGAGCAAGATCGTATCGTCACGAGTGTGACTTGCCCAGGGCAGACGCGCTATCCTTTGCCGACTGCGCCAATAGTCTGTGCTGGTTGAATGGCCCCGGTCACTGGCATAGTGAAGCCACGGATTGGTAGGTACAACTAGAGGAGAAACCGAGTTACAAATGCCCAGAAAAGGTGGTTCAGCGGCCGAGAGGCAAACAAGAGCGATACTGTCAAAGGATTGTGGAGAATCTGAAAAGGGGCTTGGACATTGCTCCCTCTCCTACTCTAAAATTAGAATTAGACCAATTATATAGAAATATAAATCAACACCTCAAAACGTTCAAAGAACAAAACAACACGGGGAGCAACGTGTAACTGCGAATTTCGCGCTCAATCCTCTGTAAGCTCGTTATCTCTGATAGAGTTGAAAGACACGAGGGGTGTCGTATCAAAAGTCCTGCGCCCATTTAGCATACAAACGCGCTCCAAACCTGATCCGAAATGGCAACACGTTACATCATCGTAACAATTGTATCATCCGCGTACCGCCATTGACTAGAGACACCGGGATGGCAAGACGGCAATGAGTTTCGTATTGATTCTCGCAGCAATATATCGTCCCGCAGGCAAAATCAGAACTGCAGTCCGTAAATCCCCCCCCCCTCCCCCAAGAAAAAAAAAAAAAAAAAAAGTAGCTGAGGTGTAATATTATTGTCGGTGAGGTATTCTACAAACTCCTATCCACATACGCAGGTATGCCCCGGTGTTTTCGTTAGTGCCGCCCTAATATTTTAGTGGCATTCTAACGTTCATTCTGGTGCCGCGTTTCTAAATATCCTCATATAATATAAGAAGCCAGCTTCTCATTCATTATTCTTATTCCATACGTACGCGATTTCTATACTCATTATTATCATTCTCTGATTCAATATGGTCTTATTTGCTATTGCACCTCCACCATCAGAACCTCCTGAACCTCCTGCTACTCCTCCAAAATGATTGACCTGTGATCAATGTCGAGATATCCTTCTTCGCGGACTGGATTGGACCTATCAAAAGATCTCTGATCATCTTGAGATTACTTATCATGAAGTTCAATACACCTGTGAAAATGAAATCTAATCTATTCTCCTTCTAGACCTCCTATTGCGAACGTATAGTCCCTCTTATCCATGGTTGAATACAAATGAATCCTGGATTGAAATTAATGCATGATGGAGCTCCAGGGCATGCTGCAGCAGATACTTCTCAAGATCTTCAAGAACATGGAATCACCTCTATATATTGGCCGCCATACTCACCAGATTTGAACCCAATTGAATCTGTATGGAATCTTATGAAGCAGTGGATACAAGAGAATCATGGAGATGAGAAGAATCTTTCTTATGATACACTTCAACAAGTGATTAGAGCTGTCTGAGATGCTATAACAGAGGAGCAATTACAAGAACTTATAGCAGAGATGCCAGCTCGCTGTCAGGCTGTTATACAGGCAGGTGGTGGCTATACTAGATATTAATATGATTCTACATTGATTCTATGTATTCTGCTTCATAATGAAAAACGCGCTCGAAAACACCGGGGCATAACGTAATCAACCACCTAACGCTCGTTTCCACCTAACGCTCGCCTTTGTAAATCAATTACAATCAACTTTGAATGTTAATATCTCAATAAATATTCATTATTTTAATTTTCTAATTTGTAATTTATAAATATCAAGACTTATAGTATAATATAATTCAAAATTATTATAATATAGTTAAAATTAATTAAAATATGAATTCAATTAGAAAATAAAATACAGTAAAATAAAATATATAATATTTTATTATAAATTAAGAAATATGTATTATATATTATTGAAAATAAATAATTCTTATATAAATATATTATAATTTAATAAATATTAAATTATTTTATATAAGAATTTTTTTATTTTTTTATTATAATTTTTTTTATAAATTATAAGTAAAATATTGACAATTCTTGAAATTTTAAAATTTGAAAAATAATTTATTAAATATAAATATATTTAAATGATTTAATAAAATAATTTATATAAATTATAACTTTAAAGTATTAATAATACACTGTTATTACAAAAATAGTATTTTAAAATATAAAAATTTATATAAAAATTTAAATAAATCAATAATAAATAAGAATTTCAAGATAAAAATTTATATTTTATTAAAAATATATATAATCTATAATATATTTAATTTTTATATGAAAATAATTTATATTTATAAATATATTTATAAATATAGACTGTGTATTTTATTTTAAAATAGTATTTTAAAAAGCTTAATAAATTAATAATTATATGTTATTTTCTCATAGAAATTTAATATAATATAATATATATCTACAAATTATCATTCTGTTTTTTAGAATAGTTTCAAATAAATATTCATTGAGATATGAATATTTGAAGTTGATTGTAATTGATTTACAAAGGCGAGTGTTAGGTGGAAACTCTTGAAGGATAACATTGTTATGTTGTAATCTAACTACGCGAGTTACACTAAATGAATAGGTTGAGGTGGCACATGACTAGGGTAGGTGTAGTAATCACCAACACCTTCTCTTGCTACACTGTGGCCTATAAGCCGCCACCCAGGGCTTCCCTTATTCTCAAATCTTTCAAAAATGCAATAATAATTAATTACATCAATCAGACCCTGATTTCCTTATTAGGAAAGATGTCTGTACAGTAATAACTGTAAAAATCAAGAAATACATGCAAAATCCACTGATTCACTGTATTATTATTATCATTCAATCATTCCTTTCTGATCTCTTTCAAATCAATTCTTTTGATAAAATCTTCAAATGCAGGCTTCATCAGTGACTTGATGAGCTCATCAGCTATGTTCACTGTAGAATCAACATGTTTTATCATGATTTCCTCTTTTTTAATTAAATTGCAGAGAATATGATATCTAATCTTGATATAGTATGATCTTCATGTTAAGAATTCCTCCTTTACTAGATCAATTGCTCTCTTATTATTAACTTATAGATACAAGCATATTTTCACTTTTCCATCATTCATCAACTCAGTATTATATAATATATCATTTAATCAGATTATCTTACAAGCTGTCTTACTAGCTGTAATATATTCAGCTTCTGTGATTGATTTGATGATAGATGTCTGTCTCTGTAACTATCATAAGATCAGTGACTCATTAATCAATATAACATAGTCAGTAGTCAATTTGTATTGAGAATCCGCTCTCACTCAGTTCAAATCACAGTATATCACAGAACTCAGACTCATATCACTGATCTTCTTTCTGTATAATATGTCATAGTTTTTCATCTTCTTGACATAATACAGGACATGCTTCAACGCTGCTCAACATGCTTTGTATGAATATGTAGACTGGCCGCTGGGACTATGAATTTCATATTTAATCTCATTTGATCTGGTCTCATACATTTCTTGGCGTGAATCCCGCTGAGACTGGCTATCAAAAAAACATGTAAAGTGACTATATATCAGATCTTAAAATGAAACCATGACTTGAAAAAAATGAGAAAGTGATCTCATTTGATCTCATTTAGTCTCATTCTTGGCATAAAGTTACTATTTTTAGACATTTTAAGGTTTTTTTTAGACTATTTTTAATTTTTTAAAAAGTAACACTTTTTGATAATGCTCAAATGAGATTTAAAGTCATTTAAAGCAATAAAAATAATTTAAATTGAGAAGTGGAAATCATGGTCTCATTTGAAAAATGTGACAAGAGTAGACAGTAAGTCTCACTGAGACAGTATGAGACTACTATCTAATGTTAAAACCGTGTAATGAAATCAGTCGAATTGGTAATGAGACTATCAAAAAATCTAGTCCTGGTCTCAGACACGGTCACACGGTCAGTCTATGAATATGAGTTAAAATGCAAGAGATAGTTGATCATGAATGCCAGGTCTGATCAGCTGCTTGAGATTAAATACTGCAATAATCTCAATTCTTGATGATATCTTATAGCTGTAAAGTTATTATTCAATTCATCATTCTCATCAGGTGAAAACTCTAGTTATATACCTGTCATCATTGAGATCTCTGCAGAATTCATCTTATTCATATTAAAATCTTCAAGAATCTTCTCAATATAACAGCTCTGTGTAATTACTAGATTATCATTTCTCTGACATTTGATCTTTATTCTAAGATATGACTTGATCTCTTCAACATTCTTTGTCTCAAATCTCTTTACAATCTCTTTCAATACTCAGTCTAATTGCTGTTCTTGAGATTCTGTCATCTGATAATCATTAATATGCAATGTCAGATAGATCTTATAAACAGAGTGATATAGAAATTCATCATTATAAGATAATATTTTAAATCTCAATATGATGAGATGTTTCATTGCTAGGAAATATTATACTCTTACAGCTTGCTTCATTTTATATAGACTCTGATGAAGTAGGCTTATCAAGCTCTCTCTGCTGTGCTTTACACCTGTGAACAGTTGTATATAGATTATCTCATTTTGTGATAGTATGTCATTCAAAAACACGGATATATAGTCAATTAATTTAATCTTTCATTCTTTGACAGTTGATATAGTGAATAGACTGTGTGATATAGACCCTGATACCACTGCAGTATATAATCTTGTATAATGAATATTCTGCTGTTGTAAGAACTCTCTAATCACTCAGTGAGCTCTAAAGCAGATGATTTCTCTCTTATTATTGAATTTTCAATCATACACTTATTTATCTGTAAGAATATTCATTTTCAGAGTCTTCTCAATGATAATATATGTCTTCTTCTATTCAAATATCTTAATCTTCTTTTTCA